ATGAACTCTGGTCTTTCTCGGCTATTCCATGCACGTGAGGGCAACCACGGCTACCCTGGAGCTTCTGAGCCCTCAGCAGAGACAAACTGGGCTCTCTGAAGCCCTACTTTCAATTCCTGGGAGAGATGCCAGTTGACCTAATCAGGCTTTGGAAGAGGAAGAGATGCGGAAAGGGAGGAGAAGAGTATTCTTGGTCTCTTGACTACCACTGGGCATGCAGACATGGCCTCCAGGACCTGTGTGTGTGTGTGTGTGTGTGCGCGTGTGCGTGCGTGCGTGCGTGCTCAGAACAGGGCAGATCCCCCACGAGGTGGAATCAAGCCTGGCACATTCTAGCTCTCTAGCCTCACACGCTCTACCCTTCTGCCATATTGAATTCTCCTAAACCCACCATAGTTTTCCCCAACTCCACACTGTCGCCTTGGCCTGGAATGCCCTGCTTGCCCTCTTGGGGAACTCCTGTCTTTAAGGTCTCAGGTCAAATACTGCCTCGTTTACAAGGCTGTCCTCACCTCCCCAGAGTTACCACCTTCCTCTGTGCTCCCCAGATTCAATGCTCCTTCCCTCATAACCTTGATGAGGTTGTGTTAAAATGAGTTATTTTAGCTTCTGTTTGTTCCACTGGATTCTGAGTAGCTTGAATGACCAAGATCTGGTCTTCCCTGTCTCTATTCATCCTTTGTTTTTTCCCTGTACCCAAGTCCCTTCCAAATTGGAATTATGGAGAAAGGAAGGAAAGGAGGAGAAGGAAAGGATGGGAGGGAGACCACAGGAAGAATTTCTGCAGGGAGAGGCTTAGACCATCCAAAGCTTTTTCCCTCATAATTAACAGCAAATACCACATTATCTGAATTTAGTTCGTACTAGCACACCGAGAATTACTGAAGAGGGGGGTATAGAAATCCCAATGGCCGGAGAAGAGAAGAAGGAAGAGAGAAGCGTGTGCTGGGTTCCTACTAACCTCTGGCACTTTCAACCAGGAGAAGACATGTGACGTTGGATAGCTCAAGGCTAGCAGCCTTCACCAGCAAATGCCTCTGTGTCCCTAAGCTCTCCCCACCCTCCACCGCCCCCCCTCCCCGCCCACTGCTATCATCAGAAGGCTGTAGGCAGGCCTGACCTTGGCCCAGCAAACCTTCCAGCCTGGATCTGGAGAAGCATCCCCCTATCTTGACAGAGAGGTTCCACGTGGTCTGCCTCAACCCCTAGGACCAGAGTGGAGGTGAAGGAGGTCACATCTGGAGGCCACCAGCTTCTTGGGGAAATAGGAGATGAGCTTGTCTGTGGAGAAGGCAGAGGTGGGGGGCCCACATACAAGTGGGGCAGGGTTGGGGAGGGGGATCAGATAAGGATGAATAGAGCTGGGGCCAGCATCCAGGCCCCAGGTGAACTCAGAGAGTAGGATGTGGTCGGATGGAAGGTGTGGTTATAGGAGCCTCTCCTGCTGGCCTTGGAACTGTTTTCTGTGGTGGTATTTCCTTTTCTAGTGCTGTCCTGGGAGCACTGGTTTTTCTCTTTCCTTCTCCAGTGGACCCATGGCAGGGGATGCTGGTAGAGATGACGGGGGGTGTCAGGGTCTTAATTAAAGTAGAGGGAAGGCATCAGGAGGCAAAAGCTAGTGAACAGGAGGGCCAGAGGGTGAGGGTGAGCAGAGGGGTGGGGGCAGGGAGCAGCAGAGTGAAGGGGAGACCTTGGCCAGTGTGCATGCGGCCCATTGGCCACACCTCCCCCCACAGTGCCCATCTCCCTCCCCAGGATCTACTTAAATAATGGGCAGAGAGAAACAAAAGAGACAGGATGTTGTATCAACATTTCAATGGTTCATCTTTTAACCCTCAAAAAATGACAGCTCCTAAATGTTCAAAACCATTTTGGAAATTTCTAGAGAGGAAAGGTTTTGCCGCCCAGGCAGCTGGCTGACAATCGCCTCTCCTCCCCGTTCCTCTCACCTGAGCTTTCTCCACCTGGGCACTCCTGGGTCTACATCTGCAGCCCTGTTTTTCTGAATGTGACTGCCAATCCCAACTGTCAGCTGGATGGGTCCACCTGAGGTCCCACCAGTTGCAAACAGCAAATCAGAGGCATTGCAACTCCCTCCCTGTGCCTCTGCCAATTTCCATCTCCATCCTTCTTGTCACCTGGGCTGAAAGCATTAGCCTGGGAACAGTCAGAGCTCCTCACTTCCGCAAAAGAAACCTAGCCTCCCTACGCAGCACTTGGGGCCCAATCCCACCCCACCTCCTGGCCCATCACTCCCATGCTGGCTGTGAGCCCGTGTCCTGAGTTCACAGGTATTCTTCAGCCTCTGAGCCCTTGGCTGGACTGCTCCTCTCTTCCACCTTCATAAACCCAATTCCTCCTGATTTTTACGGCCCTTATCAAATGCCACCTCCTCCAAGATGCCTCCTTGATTCCTTAGCTGGAAATAGTGGTGATAACAGCTCATGTGTATTGGAGTTGGCCATAGGCCAGGCAAGGAGCTAGCACTTTATATACATTACCTCATTTCATCCACAGAACAGCCTCAGGTGGGAATTACAGTTTGTATCATTCCCATTTTATAGCGAAGAACAATGGTCTGAGAGAGTTTGGCAGACTTGTCCAAGGTCCTGTACTCCAACTCAAGCAGAGTTCTGCTGAACTCCAGAGTTCATAATTTTATACACATCTCCCTCCCATGAATTACCCTGGGCATGTTTAAACATCCTTCCTAAAAAAAAAAAAAAACGAAAACAAAAAAAGCTTTTACATTCTTCCTGGAGTTGGAGCTAATTATGTAAACTGGTTGTTCAAGAGCACAGTTTTGTTCTTGAGTTTTATCTCTAAGAAATAATATATGTTAATAGTTGACAACATTAAATACTGCGGTATATTCCCTGGGCTTTGGGGAAACCCAGCAGTCTTCAGCCCCATCCCTCCCTAGTCCTGATTCCCACCTTCCTGTGTTTCCATGTCCTTTTCGTCTTTGTACCTGGCCCGTAGTGGGCGATCAGTACACGTTGGCTGTCAACCATCCGCTATCCACTGAGTAACCATTACGTGTCAGGCACTGTGCTTAGTGAAGTTGTAGTTGCTGTCTTGAATTATCCCTCCCCTCTCTAGTCCCTAAACTCTGCTCTCACCAGCCATCTACACCACCTTCTTAGGCCACAGCCAGTCCCCACCCGGCTCCTGACACTCAGGGGAACCCAGGAACACTTGACATCTACTCTGTCCTGATGCCCATGTCCAGGTGTGTGAATCAGCTAGCATTAAGTTTGGCTGCATTTAGCAGAGACCCCAAATAACAGTGGCTTAACCAAGACAGAGGATATGTCTCTCTCACACGTGCAGCACAAGTCCAGGGATGGGCAGTCTGAGGCCAGTATGTCACCTTGGCTCCCCATTCCACCATTTGTAAGGTGAGGCTCTCCTCCTCATGATTCAAGATGGCGCCAGAACCCTGGCTACTGCGTCCGCAATCCAGGCATGGGACGCAGGGAGGGATGAAAGAGGAAGAGGCAAAGGCACACAGCCCAAGAGCTGCCACCCAGCACCCATGCTGATATTTAATTGGCCAGGCTTATTGGCATAGCCAAACCTAGTTGGGGGAAGCTGAGAAGTGTAGTATTTATTCTGGATGGCACATCACCATCTAAACTTGGATATTCTATTACTGCGGAAGAAGGGAAGCATAGATATTGGAGACAACTAGCAGCCTCTACTAAAAGGGTTTGGTGTGTTGATGTGTTCGTGTGTGTGCATATGCTGTATGTTATGTATGTGAGCACACATGTGTGGCGTATGTTGGTGGGCCTCGTTCTCTCCACCACTTTGATCTCAGATGGACTTGTTATGGGTTCTCTACGGAGCTCCCCTAAATCCGGCCCCTCCTCTTAGGCAGATTTAGCAGCAGCTTCTCAATTCCCCATTTCGAGGAACTACAGTGTATTTTCTGTATCCACTGAAGCATATTATCAGTGCTGATAGAGGGGCTTATAAAACTGTCTTCCCGTTCAGGTGTTACAGGGTGGCCATTATGCGAGAGCGACTATGCCCAGAGTTAATCTGGTAATAAATTCTCCCGGGAAGGAGGGTATCATTACACTAGAATCCTAGAAAAGGGTACCATTCAATCTTGTGCTGCAGGGGGAGCACCCAGAAATGCCAGGCACCCTGTGGAGATGGCCCAGGGGAGGCAGTGGGCCAAATGCTAGATTCAGGGTTGGCTACAGGCAGTGTTAGCCCAGTGTTTCAGGCCCTGCCTGGTAATCACACAATTCCCAGATGGCTGACCTCTCCCCCCACCCACCCACCCTTCGGCACACAAGCACAATACGCAGGGGCTTGACAGGTCCATCTCATTTACCCTTTTCCACCGGGTGGTTTTATTTGTTACATTTTACTCACGGGAACGGATGCTGTAGGGAGGTTAAGTATTTGCCCAGGAGCTCACTGACGCCCTGGGACCTAACCACTATACTTTCCACCTTTGCTAGGGTTTCGTGGAACCATACTGGGGATTAGCGCTATTTAACTCCGTTCCACAAACATTTGGTGGAAATGTTTACTCATGTAATCGGGAGTTAATAGAGGGAGCTTCGACTTTTTTTTTTTTTTTTTTTTTTGAGAGACAGAGAGAGAGAGAGGCAGAGGGAGAAGCAGGCTCCCAAGGAGCAGAGAGCCCGATGTGGGACTCGATCCCAGGACCCTGGGATCACGACCCGAGCCGAAGGCAGACGCCCAACCATCTGAGCCACCCAGGCACCTGAGCTTCGACTTTTTAAGAGAGAAAGCAAGCACAGAAACACCTGAAGTGCCCCCTCCTGAATTACTCGGGATTTTGAGTTGATACGGGGGTACAATCTCCATAGCTTCATCCTAGAGCAGGGTGTTTGTTTCCAAGGACATGGTCCCAGGAGGTACCTTGGTTGAGCATTGGGGTGGTTTGTAAGTTGGGGCTCTCCTCAAAGGCTGGGGAAACTGTGGGGTGGGGAGAGAGCACCCCAGCCTCTCTGGGTTAAGCAGAACCCTGACTCAGCCACTTACCTGTTTGACTGTGAGCAAGTTAGTGCATCTTCTTGACCCTCGGTTTCCCCTTCTATAAAATTCAGATTAAAAGCATACCTTTGATCAAGCATGATAAATAATATATAAACAGACCGTTTATTTCTATTATATTGCCAGAATATGAATCATACTAATATGATTATGGATAGAAAATGTATTATCTGTTGTTATCAAGACCCAGATGAGGCAGAACATAAAAAACAGGGATTAACTTTTTTGCCTTTTCCGGAACCTTCATGCTAATATTTACTTGCATTTGATTATCATTTCAGGCTCATGCACACAACATGGATCACAGACTCGCACACATTTAACTGTATTACCTTTTGTCTTATGTATCTCATTAAAACTTAGCTGCTTACTCAAGGATCTGCATATTACTAATATTAGAATTCATTGTTCCATGACTTCAAAAGTGTCAATCATTCTGGATGAACATGTTATATAGTCTCTCCTGCCTCCATGCCTTTATTTTATTTTTTTTTTAAGATTTTATTTATTTATTTATTTATTTATTTATTTATTTATTTATTTATTTGTCAGAGAGAGAGAGCGCGCACAAGCAGGGGGAGCAGCTGAGGGAGAGGAAGAAGCAGGCTCCCCGCTGAGCAGGGAGCCCGATGCGGGCCTCGATCCCAGGACCCTGGGATCATGACCTGAGCTGAAGGCAGCCTCCTAACCGACTGAGCCACCCCAGGCGCCCCTGCCTCCATACCTTTGAACCAGCTGTTTTCTGGCCATTTGTGGCAACCACTTTCCATTTTTACTAACCCCTACTGGGTCTTTAATACCCAGCTCAGGTGACACCTCTTCGAGGGAGCCCCTTTTGTACTCCTGTGGTATCTTGCGCTCATCCTTCTCGAAAAGTTTGTTCTTCCTGTATTGGAATGGCCTACAGACCTGTTTATCTCTCCTATGAAAGCATAAGCAACCCGAGAGTGGAGAACATCTGTTGTTCACGATTGTATCCTTGGTGCCCGGCTCTGTATCTGACACATTAACAGACCTTCTGCCAGGGCTGGGTGCGCTCCGGCTCCCGGTGGGAGAGAAAGAAAGTAATAAAGCCAGTGATAAATGCCATCACAGAGGCATCAGAGGCCGCCACGGGAGAGTAATGGAGAGGACAAGTAACATCATCTCTAGTAATAAGGATAATAATAGAGTACATTTCACAACACCTTTAAAGCTCTTGCACATGCATTGTCTCATTTGATCCTCATAAAAGTCAAGAGGTAGGTATATTGCAGGAGATGCTGGTGGGGCTTTTAGTGGTTATGTGATATGCTTTGTGTCAGGCAGCTATTAAATGGCTGGGTTCAGACCAGACTTTAAAAGCCCGTTCTCTTCCTCACAGCGTGCAATAAAGTCCTATCATCACCATGACGTCCATGTGCTCCTGCCTTGGCTTACTGCTCTGTGGTCCATCCCACACCACTTCGTAGATTAATTGCTCAGGCCCTGCCTCCCCGAGGAAATGCATTTCATTAATGTAATTCTAGATAACAAATTGTCTTTGACGCTGAGGGGATGGCAGAAAGCAAGTCTCATTTTTATACACATCAGATAATGTGGTTGGTAACAGGGCGTCTGGGTGTTTTTTCTGAGATACCAGCGACTTGCTATGTGTGGTTCCTTCTGTTTTCAGGCCTGAGAAGCACATCCTGGGAAGGAAGATGCGTTGCGGATCCCTGTGCCGATTCCTGTGGCTTTGGTCCTGTCTGTCCTATATTGAAGCCATGCCCATCCAAAAAGTTCAGGATGACACCAAAATCCTCATCAGGACGATTATCACCAGGATCAATGAAATTTCACAACCGGTAGGGAGGGTCTGAGAAGACAAAATAGAGCTGTGACTGGCCCATGGGGAAACCAGGACCTCAGACGTTAGCCAAGGCCTGTGCAGCCTCATGTAGGAGCCATGGCAGCCTTGATTCCTCCCTCCTGCACGAAGAGAGCTGCCTTTCCTCTTCCTCTCCCCTCTGCCTCCCACCTCCTCCCTCTCCTTCCTCTCTGATGGGAATCCTAGTGCCTAGGACCAGAGGGAGCCATAAAGGTCCTTGTGTCCAACTGGCAGATGACCAGAACCCCAGCTGCATCCCCTCTGAGCCTCTGTCTCATCGCTAGAATGTGCTTATCATTGGGCATTCTTTTTTTTCTTTTTTAAGATTTCATTTATTTGAGAGAGAGAGAGCAGAGCTAGAGAGAGAGCACAAGTGGGAGGCAGAGAGGCAGAGGGAGAAGCAGGCTTCCCGCTGAGCAGGGAGCCCGATGCAGAACTCGATCCCAGGATTCTGGAATCCTGACCTGAGCCGAAGGCAGACGCTTAACCGACTGAGCCACCCAGGCGCCCCGCATTGGGCATTCTTCCTAGCTGAACTCTGGCCCTGTGAAGCTTCTCCCTATTACTGCGAGTCCTGGGGTCCACAGGCCTAGACCTTCAGCCATTTCCCAGAGGAGGGCTGTATTTGGAATTAGGAAGACCGAATGTGAATCTTCACACTTCTGTTCTCTCTGTAAAATCTTAAGCTAGTTGCTCAGTGTCTTGAAGCCTTGGTTTCCACAGCTAGATAGTGGGACTATCATAAGGGACTTCACAAGGTTGTTTTGAGATTCAATTAAACAAAGCAAGTGATCCACCTGCCCTCCCCCTGGCCCCCAACAGAACCAGAACAGAGCATGCCCTCATTAAAGGTTTTTAGCTGTGGTTTTTGGTAGCCCCTAGTCTTAAAAGCCTGCTTGCTCCCCCAGCATGGAGCAATCTAGAAACTTCCACATCTCTCGCCCGCTATGCATGTCTGACAGTGGTCTTGGGTAGCCAGGGAGAAGTTAGGTGGCCAGAAGCAGGGACAGCTCAGAACTAGACAGGGTTTGGGGCATTTTATAGAGAGAAACCCAGGAGTCTCCCTGCTTTCACGGGGCCACTCAGGATAGATCCAGAGTGTCCCAGCTTGGGTGGTGCCGAGAGTGAGCGTCGCAGGCAGAGGGGAAGGGGAGAGCCCCTCCTGGTAACCAGCGTTACTGGAGCTGAAGAGTGAGGTGGGGCACTCTTGGGGGGGGTTGTCCAGCCTTGATCCCTGAGGGGGTGGGAGGCCTTGGAGAACCAAACTGGGAGGGAGGAGTCCTCTGAGGGGTGGAAGTGGGGGGAGGATAGCTGGGAGAGGGGCACTTCAGGAGGACCTCAGTGCCTGGGGAAGAGACTTAACTAAGTAGAAATCGGGCCCCATGGCTGGTTCCACAGCAGAGGCCATTGTGAAGATTGGTCTGGAAGGGGAGGGCAGGGTGATTTGGGAAGGGCAGGAAGACAGAAGTCCAGGAGACCAGCTTGCAAGCGTGGCGGCCCCGGGGCCCAAGAAACAAGGGCCTGGGCCAGGGTGGTGAGTGGGACCGGAGGCAAGCAAGAGAGTGGACCTCCACACTCACGGGAGACGCCGAGGCCTTGCAGAACTGACTTCTCTGAGATCCTGCTCTCCCTTTTCCTCTCTCCCAGCAGGGTGTCTGCTCCAGACCAAGGGTTGCTGGTCTAGACTTCATTCCTGGGCTCCAGTTGGTCCGGACTCTGTCCGGGATGAACCAGATGTTGGCCATCTACCAACAGATCCTCACCAGTCTGCATTCCAGAAATGTGGTCCAAATAGCTAATGACCTGACGAACCTCCGGGACCTTCTCCACCTGCTGGCCTCCGCCAAGAGCTGCCCCTTGCCCCGGGCCAGGGGCCTGGAGAACATCAAGAACCTGCGCGATGTCCTAAAAGCCTCAGCGCACTCCACAGAGGTGGTGGCCCTGAGCAGGCTGCGGGCAGCCCTCCAGGGCATGCTTCGACAGCTGGACCGCAACCCTGGGTGCTGAGGCCTCAAAGGGCTCTCTTCCCAAAGTCGAGGAGAGAGCCCTGGGCTTCTGGGTGTCTCCAGGAGAGAGCCCGTGTGGGTGTCCTTTATCCGGACCCCGGTCCATTTCTCTCTCACACCTCGGCACCACTCTTCCAAAGGCATAAGCCGCCAAGGCACGAAACCAAAGATAGAATGCATGATTCCATACTCACCGGGAAGGGGGACCCACCCGGCAAACAGTGAACTGGATCTGGGGTTCTCACAAGAGTCTTCCTTCCTGTGCCACCTCCCCCCTCACTGCATGCTTCAGCGTGACCTGGGGTGATTGCAGGAGGCACCCACCGAGCCTTTGGACCATCAAGCAAGGTTCTGTTTGAGAATTCTGGGAGCACCGTGAGGGCTACATCCACACATAGCTGCAACCTCCAAGCAACACGTTATTTATTACGCCTTTTATTCTGGATGGACTGGAAGGAAAACGTCAGCTTTTCCAGGCTCTTTGGGGCTGACCAGAGCCAGGGATGCTGGTTCCAATCCCTTCGATGGGCCTGGCTGAGGCAAACCCATTTCTAGTGACTTGAGGGCTCTCTAGTTAGTTCTTTGGTAACTGGCTTTGTTTCTACTGTGACAGATGTGAAATTACAGTGTTTGCAACGGCACTGCCCTGAGCGGATCTCCAAGGACCAGGTTATTTCAAAAAGAATTAATAAATTTTGTCATCTGTGATGTGTGGATGTGTGCACCTAGAGGTGGGGAATGTGTTAGGGGCAAGGGGAAGGATCCAGAATGTGTTTTCGGAATCACATTTGTGCAATGAGCTCTTCGGATGGGGGAGGGGGGTCATTTTCTCATCTCTGCAACCACTTAGTGTGGTTTTCATGGAAAGATGACCCCTTCGGGGGGTTGTGGGGGGCTTTGCCAGCCACCCATGGAGGGAGTGGCACTGAAGACTGTTTATTGGGGCAGTTGTGAGCCCTGGCCTTCTCCAGTTGCTGGAGAGAGGTCTTTCTTTTTTTTTTTAAGAGTTTATTTATTTATTCATGAGAGACAGAGAGAGAGAGAGAGAGAAGCAGAGGGAGAAGCAGGCTCCCAAGGAGCAGGGAGCCCGATGCGGGACTTGATCCCAGGACCCTGGGATCATGACCTGAGCCGAAGGCAGACGCTCAACCATCTGAGCCACCCAGGCGCCCTGGAGAGAGGTCTTTCTTATCAGGGAGTGAGGATCCCTCTCTGGCGACAGCGATCCCCAGAGCAGGGGTCCTTGGTATGGACCTTGGAATGGTCTAGGGATGATCCCACACTGGATTTATAAGCAGTAGCCCTACTTGAGATGTGCCTGCCAAATTGTGATTCTCATCTGACTGGCTCAGCCAAAACAAGACCATGTTTCCCACTCATTTGGGGTGGATTTTTATTCCAGTGGGAAGGTCTGTGGGCTTTAGTGGATGGATGGTCCCAAGACCTGGGCCAGCACTGCTGAGGTCTCCAGGAGTGCCTTTCCCACTAGAGGTCATATTTGAGGGGATGAACAAGGAGGCTTGGCTTTTCCACCGTCCTCCCGCTGTGGTGAGGCCGTCACACTCTAGGTGGTGGATCTGTCCAAGGAAATGTGAATCAAAGCTGTCAACTTTGAGACTGAGCACCTAATTTGTGCTCAGCCCTGATTGGTGCTATGGGCTAGAGAAGCTCACCAAGTACACGTTAAAATCCAGTCTAACCCTCAGGGACCTTGCATTGTAGATGGTAAAAACTGCACACACCAGCATGCAAAGTCTGGCCTTTCACCATGGCAACGGAGCAGCCGAACCAGCAACCTCCTCAGCAGGCGGGAAATGCTGAGCTGAGGCTGGCGGTCTCGGGGGCCCACAGGCTAACCCTGCTTGCACTTGGTAGCATTTTTGCTTTGCAGGCACGGCAGCATTTATTACCGTGTAGCCACATCCCTTTGAACAGTGTAGCTGCCAATTTAAAAATAAGAACATGACCTAAGACCATAACAGCAGACAGGTCGCAGGGCCAAGACTAGATTCAGGCAGTGTCCCTGGAGCCAGGTAATGCTCCCCGGAGGCACCAATAGTGTCGGGCAGGGGAGACCAGGAAGGCTTGCTGAGAGAGAGGAGTTGGAAGTGATTTTGCAGGAGGCGAGGGGTGTGAATTGTCTGGAGGGAGGAGGCTGTTTGGTTGGTGCTAAGACACCGGGGTGAAGGTATGTGCAGCCAGTTACAAAGAAAGGCAGACAAAGGAAGGACGGGAGGGAAAGGGACATGTTGAAGAGGCCTTCAGTGGCAAAGAAGTTTGATATCGAAAGGGTTAAGAATCGAAAGTTCTAGAACAGAGAGATTCATGAGATGGGCAGAGTCAGACCCGTTCTGGAGAATAGGACCTAGGCAATCATTACCACCCAATCAGGCTGGGATCTCTTAAGGCTTTCACTCACCAAAACCTGGCACCACAGCTCATTCTCAGAGTGTGAAAGTTCTAAAATGTAAATGATTGTCTTTTTTTTTGTTGTTAAAAAAAATCCAAATAAATTAACTTTGCCCCTTGGTCTTTGTTTTCTGTCACCCTTTCTGCAGGGGCATTAGAAGAGCTATTTGTGTGTGACAGGGCAAGGCCTGGCTGGCCTCCACCCCTCAGGGGGTCAGCTCTGCCCAGGCTTGGCCACAGCCGGCCACCAGTTAATCAGGCTGAAGGATTCCCCCAAAGCACTGAGCTGGCAAAACAAGCACATTCGGCACCAGAGTCAGTGTGGGTCTGCAAATCAGCCTTGAGAAGCACCAAATTATTTTTTAAACAAAAAAGAGTAACAACAACAAGAACCCGCAAGCACACAATCAACAACATGCAGCCCAACAGCAGACCCAACCAGGGGCACAGACTCTCGAAAAGACAAGACTTATCTCGTTGTAGGCACAGACAATCATCTCTGTGGTGCAGTTAGAACCTGACAGTTTCCACCCAAGTTCTGGGGAGGACTGGGGGCAGGGCGGGGGGGGGGGGGGCGTCCATCAAGCAGTCACTTCCATGGGCGATTTCAAAGTATAGTTGACAGCTGCTAACCCATTCCTGAGTACTAGTTTAAGTGGTGGAGGAAAGCGAGACCGAGCTCCCAAAGAAGGGGAAGCCGCAGGGGGCTGGGGGAGCAGGGGAAGATTTGTCAGATACGGCTGGAACAGCCTAAGCGGGTCACTTGGCAGCTCAGGGAAGGAGCTGGACTCTGTACCAGTCAAGATTTCTTTAGCTGCAAGATACAGAAATCCGATGCAAACCAACTTAAATAAAAAAGAGAGAATTTTTGGTCCACGTTGCTGAAAAGCCCGGGCCATGGTCCTTCTCTTACAAGACTTTCTCTGCACTCATCCCCAAAGACCTAGAAAGGTGCCCATGCCCTGACCCGCCCCAGTCTCTGCCATCCTGAGATGGGTAGCAGGGCTCGGGGATGATGTATTTGCCCCTTGGTGGCCATCTGGGACCATTTGAGATGTCTTGTTTCCGAGCAGTCATGAGCCTTAGAAGCCCCCTGCCCCCACCATCCCTGCACCTCTCCCCTTGGCTCCTTAGGAAGCCTCTCAGCCCACATGGGGCAGCCAGAAGGGGTAGGGGAAGGGGAAGGTCCCAGAGGAGCAAATCTCAACCAGTGGAGAAGGGGGGGTCTGTGGATAAACGGCCCCGCCTCCCACTCTCCACGGGGGCAATTCTAAAGTGCATTCTGTAGGACTGAGCCCTGGGTGCCCACTGCCGTCACATCCGTGGAGCACTCCTAACTGGCTTTTCCTCCTTCTCATTCCCACTCTCCCTGCTCCTCACTCCTGCTTCCTAGGGTCACCTCCCAAATACACCTCCTTACCAGAACCCTTGGGTCTGGTGCTGCTCATGGAAGAACACAGAGTAAGACAACTGCAAAGCAAGTGGAGATGGATTTGGATGCTGAACCATGAAGCCAGATTCTAGAGAGGGGTAGGTACCACACACCAAAACTCAGAGAACCATCCCTAAGAGCCAGGCCTAAGAGAGAAAAGAAGAGAGAGCTCCTAAGGAGAAAGGAAGTCCACTTCAGGAAAGCTTGACACGGGAAAGAGAGCAGGACAGGAAGAGGAATCTACTAAATGGAAGAACAACAAGATTAGGACGGAAGGAAGGATGGAAGGAAGGAAGGAAGGAAGGCAGGCAGGCAGGCAGGCAGGCAGGAAGGAAGGAAGGAAGGAAGGGAGGAAGGAAGGGAGAGAGGGAAGTAAATACATGTAAAGTTAATATTGCCTGTCTTACTGCATTTGGGCAGCTATAACTGAATATTGTGGTCTGGGGGGCTTATAGACAACAGAAATTTATTTCTCACACTTCTTGAGGCTGGAAGTCCAAGATCAAGGTGCGAGCAGATCCCGTGTCTGGTGAGCGCCTGCTTCCTGGTTCATAGACCACACCCCTCACTGTGTCCTCACCGGGTGGAAGGGGCAAGGGAGCTCTCTGGGGTCTCTTTTACAAGGGCACTAATCTCATTGTTGATTATTATGTACATAATTACTATTTAAAATAACACTAATCACCTCCCAAAGACCCCACCTCTGAATACCTAACCTTGGAGGTTAAGATTTAACATAAGAATTTTTGGGCGACACAAACATTCACTCTATGGCATCCCTTTATGATCACTGATTGGAGGAAAGATCAGGCCAAATCAAGGGAGTCTCGATCACTGACTCCTACCTGCCTAAACTGTCTTTTTACAATAAAGGTACCTAATATTAGCATTTCTTCCACTGAGCTCCGATGGCCCCTGTTCAGTCGGCGCATGCGCAGCTCACGCGGAATCACTTCTGCAGGGGTCTCATGCCCGAACAGGACCACCCCGCCTGGCCCCGCGCCTGGCTGTCGTGTCCGGCCCAGCGCAGGCACTCCACTCTTGCTTGGTGACCAAAGGATCGGAGACTCCTGTATTAACAAGCCCATTATATCAGGTCAGCTAATTCTGTCAAAAGCCTGAACACCGTCCCGACCCTTAAAGGTTAAAATTCTTAAAATTCTGCTCACTCTTAACTTGCTCAGCAAACCTCTTCCTTTTTAGTTCAAAGATATAAGCCCAAACCAACTAAAAAAAAAGAGCGTTAAGACAGTGATGGGAATCTGAGTATGGATTCTGGGTTAGATGATGAAAGGAATTATTACTAATTGTATTAGTTGGGGTGATGGCATGGTGGTTAAATATTTTAATTTAAAAAAAATTTTTTAAAGATTTTATTTATTTATTTGACACAGAGAGAGCACGAGTGGGGGGAGGGGCAGAGGGAGAGGGAGAGAGGCAGACTCCCCACTGAGCAGGGAGCCCCAGGGCTCCATCCCAGGACCCTGAGATCATGACCTGAGCTGAGCCGAAGTTGGACACTTAACAGACTGAGCCACTCAAGTGCCTCCATTTTTTTTTAAATTTTTTAAAGATTTTGTTTTTAACTAGCCTCTCCATCCAACGTGGGGCTCAAACCTATAACCCTGAGATCATAAGTCACACGCTCTACCAACTGAGCCAGCCAGGTGCCTCTATTTTTAAATGCTTCCTTATTTATTAGAAATTCAAACTGAAGTCATTTAGGATGAAATGCAATGATGTCTGGGATGTACCTTAAAATATTTCAGAAAAAAATATATGTAAGAGGGTAGATAAACAAGGTCAATAAAATGTTGGCAATCGGGGCGCCTGGGTGGCTCAGTCGGTTAAGCGTCTGCCTTCGGCTCAGGTCATGATCCCAGGGTCCTGGAATCGAGCCCGACATCGGGGTCCCTGCTCAGCGGGGAGTCTGCTTTGCCCTCTCCCTCTGCCCCTAACCCCACTTCTGCTCTCTCTCTCTCTCTTTCTCAAATAAATAAAATCTTAAAAAATAAATAATAAATAAAATGTTGGTAATTGTTAAAATTGGGTGACAGGTACACAAGAATTTATTATAGCAAGCCCTGTACTTTGGGGCCGAATTTCCAGAAGAAACAGTTTGGGGTAAGGTGCAGTCCAGTCCAGCCCAGCCCCTCGGCCACCTGGGTGTTGTGTGTTCTGGGGAGGGGGGAAAGGGGTGCAGGGAAGAGGAAGAAGGAGAACAGGATGTTGGGCCCCGAGTTGTGTTTAACTTCACATTTGATTTCGCTGCCTGGCAGATGTTCCAGGGGGCCGGGGGGGTTGGGGAGGGGGCGAAAGCCTGTCAGAGTGGGTGTGAAACTGTGAACTGAAACAGAGATTTGACAAATCAAACAAGGAGACAGTGGTAAGAGCCAGCTGTGAGATACTGGAAAAGCAACTCCTGATGCTTAGAAGAAAAAGCCAAAGGAGTAGAAATTAGAGCCTCGGATGGACATTGCCATAGCCCTGCAGGGCCTTGGGGTGCCGCATGGAGGCACGGAACTCCCCTTCCCCCTTTGCAAGGGAGAGTCGTGGTGTCCCCACTCCATGGTTATCCCTCTGTATTAAATATCCTCGATAGGGTGAGAAGCCCTCGGACCATTTGTGAAGGAAAATGGGATTCCTGTCTCATTTTCCCACTTAAGTTATGGTAATAAAAAGATACTTCATCCCTACCTTCAAAACCTTGTCCCTGGGGCTCTGCATCTGGCTGCATTTCTCCACTGGCTTGCATCAGACCCCTCCCAGTGCAGGAGCAAAGCACTGTTCACCTCCACCCAGCCACACACACCCTCTACACACACTTCAGGACATCCGAGAGTGCAGAACGGGGCAAGCCGGGGGACCGACCCAGAAGGCCAGTGAGGCTTCCCCCTTGGGGCCTAAGCCAGAGCCCTTGGCACGGAACGCTGTGGAACCTCAGACGGGGCCTTCCCGTCAATGGCCAGTGTTTCATCTCAGGCAGATGTCCCCAAGGAGATTCACAGACCAGAAAACCAACCCTGAAGTCGCCTCCACCCTCCTATCCTCTTTTTGGCCATCATTCCTGGAATGAGGAAACACCCACACTCACAGCTTTTCTTTTTCTAACATGTGTGTATTTACCTCAGTGAACTGGCGGGTGCGGCATAAGTGGGGCTCCCCACCCCCACCCTGCCAGGCCTGCGACCCTGACGGCAGGGGAAACCCCTGCTCCCTTCCCTTCCACACTTGGGCTTGGACCTTGCACCTGACTCAAAACCCGGAAGTGGTCTTCACAGCCCAATAATAATTTGGAGCTCGTGGTAACGGCCCAGACGGAGGGATTTATGACCCTTTGTCGCTTGGAGGAGCAAGGCAGGATGTCTGTTACTTATCTCATGCACCAGATGATGCCTTAGAGGTCTCACAAGACTTGCCCGAGGCTCCCATCTGAGGATCAGAACCTGAGCCTTCAGCTTTGCAATACCCAGGCTGGATATCTATGGCCATCTTCCCCCGCCCCTCCCACGCCCAAACACACATACGGATTTCTGATGTGTCCCATGACCCCCTCTCCCCATCAGAGGGACAACCATCCGGGAAAGCTGGCTGGCCAGGCCACGGTCCTGGTGTTGAGGAGCTTGCAGTGTGGGCTGCTCACACACACACACACACACACACACAATGGAAGCAGATGCCCGCACAGAT